TTGTGGCCTGTGACATGGTCTCCTGTGGAGCAGTGTGTTTGCAGTCTGCTCTTGACCAGCTGAGCGGGGCAGGAGAAGGGCCGTGGAGACCCTGGGTATCCAAAGGGGGATTTGGAGGAAGGAGGCATGTTAGGTGACGTGTGACTGCTAGGGGTAGCAGGGATCATGCTGGGCTTGGTTGGTTCCTGCAGATCCAAGCCACATCCAGCCACATGCTTTGTGGAAAGTGGGCTGCCCTGCAGGCTGGCATACAGGTTCCTCCCTTGTTCCCAGAGCCAGGAGGCCAGGCTCTCAGGCTAGCATTGGCCCAGCACAGGGCCCTTTTCCTCCTGGTGCTCAGCTTCCCTGGCGCTGCTGTCCTCAGACAGGCGTGGAGCTCTGATGCTCCTTGCAGGACCATGGTCCGTGCTGGCTGTAGCTAACACGCAGGGTCCCTTGGAAGTGTGTGCCTCGTGCCCATCTCCTGCTAGCGAACTGGCAGATGGGTGCTTCCCCTGGCCAGGTTCTCCCCTTTGCTCCAGGAGATTTGTAGAGGCATTCCCCAGGGCCTGCCAAAGCAGCTGTCAGGGCTGGGGTCGGGCATCCTGGGTGTCCAGGTTTGGCTTTACTCACCTCTGCTTTGCTGCTCTCTGTGTACAGCCGCCTTTAAGAGCCAGTTCTCGGCTTGTTGTTGGCCATGTGTTTCCTGCCATAAGGGAAGTGGTGTGTGTTCCTGACAGGAGACAGTGTGTTTGCCTTTACGTCTGTCCCTGCAAGGGCTGCTTTTACTTGTTGTATGCCAAAAAGAGACTTATTCTCTTCGTAGAGGCTATGGGGACTCTTGGGGAGGAGAAGGGTTGTTGTTTCGTCCCCTGGTGTCTTGCAGGGAAGTCTCTCAGGGGACCTGTGTGGCCCTGGGCTTGTATCCAAGGTTTACGCTGAGCTCTCTCCAGCTCTCCTCATGCTGCGTTATTGGGCACAGTCTCCTCGTGTTTGTACAAGCAGCTCCTCTCTGCTACCCTGGCTCTTCTCCCTGTGCTGGCAGCAGGCTATGGGGGTTTTGCATGGGTTTGTGGTTTAGCATGGGAATAAAACCTACAGAGCCTGGCTTGGCTTCATGGGCATACGTTGACCAGATCCAAGGGCTGGTGTGAGTTATTGCAATCTCTCCTTCCCCAGGACGCACTGAAACCAGCGTTTACTGTCACCAACCTGCCGGGGACGACGTCCACCATCCAGACAGCCCCCACCACCTCGACCTCCATGCAGGTCAGCAGTGGCCCGTCATTCCCCATCACTAATTACCTTGCACCAGTGTCTGCCAGCATCAGCCCCAATGCCGTCACCAGTGCCAACGGGACAGTGCTGAAGACTACCGGAGCTAATCCAGTGACATCTGGGGGCCTCATGCCGATACCCACCGGCTTCACCCTCATGTCAGGTCAGTGCCTTTAGGGGCTGAGGACTGCATCCTTCCATTCCTGCACCTAGAGTGTGTTGCTGCCTTCTCCAGAGGAGAGGAGACCTAGTGGCAGGAGGAAGCAGAGTGGCTGCTGCTGTCGGGAGAACTTGACTGGGATTTCTTGCTTGAGCTTGAAAAGGGTCATGTTGTGACTGTTTCCTTAGAGTTCTGCTAGCTGGCCCTGCTGCTGGGAAGGGCTGTGGTGGCAGGGAGCTGAGCTGGAACCCCAGGGCAGCACCGAGAAGCCTGGAGGGAGTGAAAAGAGCTGGTGGTGACAAAGCCTTTCTTTCTCCCTCCTTTTGGCAGGGGCTTCCCTGTCTCCGGGGACCCCTACCATTCCTCTCGCTCCGTTACAGCCGCACC